AATTTCCCCTGGGTTGGGCCTGTCAAACATTTCACTGCAGACAGGGAAAGAGAAAAGAGTGAGTGTTCAGAACACAGAGCTGTCACGGCACTGAGCCTGCCAGGATGTGCTGGAGCCCAGCTGCTAACGTCAGCCGTGGTATGCGAGAGGCATGAGGTGATGGGAGTTTGCCTTCAGACAGAGCTCTTTTATCTTTGTTGGCATGGAAATAAATTGGTTTCACTTTTTATTTCCTCTTTAAAAGTCCTTTAAATTCTAACTAGCTAATGGAGCCAATTCCTTTTGCCACCCTGATCCAAGTCCATTAACACCCACCCCGCATTTCATCATAACCTTGTGCCCCTTTTCAAGCCACGCAATTGCTCACATCCAGTCTGCCCTGTCGGAGCTAAAATCCAAAGTAATTCCTGGTTGTAATTCCTGGTTGAGACGGAGGTTCAATGAGCTGATATCAGTCAGTTCAGAACCCTTCAGAGATTGTCTGCTTGTCAATCTCAGCTTTGCTGCCTCCTTGGACTGACAGCCAGGAAGAGAGACTATTATTAGGAAGTCAACTTTTGGCCTTCACTAACGGCGGGAGTAGTGGGGAAGTAGGGGGCACCTTGTTGAGCCCCATCCTTTGAAACAAATGCCAAAGATCCTCCAAAGAGGGGGTATTGTTAAAGCTTTCAGCTTCCATCTCACTGAAGATTTGGGCATTACCTGGCAAAGGTTTGAAGGATTTTAAGTTTTTCTCAATGCTGTACCTTTACTACATTTGTTATTTTAATTTCCTGTTTTGATATAACATTAATAGGAAAACCCAATATGGTGAGCACCTGGGACCCTGTGTTATGGAAATGGAGGATAGAGCAGGACTAATTCTGGTCCACAGCTGATTTTAGAAGAAACGGGAACCAAGGAATGGTGTGAGTAGGAGCAGCTGTAAGAAGAGAGGAATTCAAATTGAGACTTTGGGATGTTTTTAGGAAGAAAATGCAAGTGTAGGAAAATGTTCTTGACCTCACAAAGGTCTAAAGAATTCATATTAAAGCCAAAATTCTGGGAAACACTATGTCAACAGGATCTGCATGAATTTTTAAGACTAGATGTACATCAACCAATATGTTGCCCACTTACCTCACATCATTATTGAGCGCTGGAAACACAGCTAGTTGGAAATGAGATACATCCCTGATTTTGAAAACTTCATACCAAAAAATGACATTAAATGCTCAATAATTTTTATATTGCATGCTGAATGATAACAATGGCAATATACTGAGTTAACTAATATACAGGATTAAAATAAATTTCCCTTCTTTTTACCAATTTTAATGCAGCAATTGAAAACTTTTAAATTACAAATGTGGATCACATTATGTATCTGTTGGTTACCACTTGTGCAGACACAGAGATGCAGCATTTCCAAACTCAGGGTAGGTAAATTCACCATCCTGAAATTTTGCTCTTCTCCTCTGGACCCCTGAGCCTCATGTTCCCCTGAGAAGCCCTAAAATCAGCCTGAGCAGAAGCAGGGTCGTGATACTGACAAGGTGCTTTGGAAACAACCACGACTTCTGTTTAATGCATCAACTCTCCGCTTGTCTCCTAAAAGAGCTAACTTTGGGGGATGCTAACATCATAGGAACTAGCAAGCTGGAAAAAATGTGTCAATTCTCTTCTCTGCCCCAATTATTTTTGCTTTTGTTTTGGCTCTGCTTTGTCATGGAAATTTGCATCTTCTTGTTATCCTGACAAAGACCAGCCAGTCTATTGCAATAAGCATGCCTTCAGATGTACCGGTGCCCTCCCTTTTGCGTCAAGGCACCAAGCTCAAAATCATTTTTTAGTCTGTCAGGAGGCAAACTGAATATCCTGGAAATGAATACTCTTCTATTTGCTCAAGTACTGAAGCTTAAAAAAAATCCTATTGACTTATTACTGAAATTCACAGAACATTTTGTGAAAGCTGGTTGATTGGTAAGTTTTAATTTCAATTTTTTTTTCAGTTTTGTGATTTTTTCTTTTTTTTAAGGAAACCCCTTCATCTGATTAACAAAAATGAATGACTCATGCAAAGTACAGGCACTTTATCTGCTACCTATCTTTCAATAAAGTCTCAGACTCTGGAGTGAGACAGATTTGTTTTTAAAAATTATAAATATCATGACAAAAAAATAACTACAGAGTACACAGGAATATAAAGGAAAGAATATAAAGGAATATTTCCCCTGGGAGATCAGGAAAGCTGTAAGAGCTTTTGAGTTCAGACTTTCTACCAACCCGTCTTCCTCCTACCCACTCCTCTCCCCAAATCTAGATCCAAACTAGTGTATCTAGATGTCTAGGGACATTCTACTTGGATGCCTCAGAGCCATCCCTAACTTAACATGTACAAAATATCTCACTTTGTTACAACAACAAAAAAAAAGAAAACCAAGTTCTTCCCTATCACCCCAAAGTGCCTTCAATTCCCACATCTTAGTTAATGTCATCACTCCATTCCAAACCACACCCTCAGGATCATCCTTGATTATCCACTTCTTTCCACAACACCCCAGCCAAACCATTCATGAATCCTCTCAATTCTGAGCCATCATCGTCTCTCACCAAGGCTAATGTCACTCGCCCCCACATGGACTCCCTTACCCAACTCCTTTCCACCCCCATTCTCATTTCTAGGTAACATCATACATGAGCTTCTACAAGTGTAAATCAAATCACGTCATTCTCCTGCTCATTCCTGTCTGATTGCCCATGAAATGAAATTCCAAACACTTATCTTGGAATCTGTAGATTTCTTAAACAGTACACAAAAAATACCAGCCATGAAGGGAAATAAGATAAACTGGCTTACTTTGAAATTAATAACATCTGCTCGTCAAGAAAAGTAAAAAGTCATCCCACTGAGAGGAGTATTTGTAAAGCATGTATCTGACAAAGGACTCAGAACCAGAATATAAAAGAATTCAGAACAAATCAGCAAGACAGAGACTACTCAATAGAAAAATGAGCCACATACATAAATGCTTGACAAAAGAGAATACCCAAATGACTAACATGCATATGAAAAGGGACTGGGCCTCATTAGTCTTCAGAGACTAATTAGAGCTACACGGAAAGGCCACTCAACCCATGAGGCTATAGCTAGGATGAAAATGGCAGAGGGGCTGTGGAACAACTAGAAGGGACACACACTGCTGGTGAGTGTAACTTGGTGCAAAATGGCTGGAAAACTGTTAATATCTAATAAGCTGAACACATGTATACCCTCTACCCTAGCAACCTCACCTTAGGTACAAATATATGCATTCTGGAAATATGTACATACACACACCTAAAGAGAGGTACACTATTGTTGTCAGCAGCACTATTCATAAATATATCCAAACTGGAAATTAACCAGAGGTCCATTAATGATGATTGATACAAAAATTGGGGGATAGTCCCACAACAGATTATTCAACAGCAATGAAAAAAATTTAATTTCATTAAAAATATGGTTGAATTTCAAGAACATACCATTGAGCAAAAAACGCTGACCGCGTGATTTCTGTATACTATTCTGGAAAACAGATAAAACAACTGAAAGCTGTTAGGTGAAGTTTAGTTTCTTCTGGCAGGAGTGGGGTCACATCGCTGGAAGGGGGACAATGGGGTGGCCCCAAGTTGCTGCCTGTGTTCTGTTTCTTCATGAGAGTGTTGGTTACGCAGATATATATTCAGTGTGAGAAAATTTATTAAAAATATACTTATTACTTTTGAATTTATCTTATTTTTTATAATTTTTTTAAAGACTTATTTATTTATACATACAAGAGCTGGGGTACAGGCCAGAGATGTGGGGGGTGAGAGGATTCACCAGAGACAGAGTGGGGAACAGAACAGGCAGTATGACTGAAGTACACTGCTGAGGGGAGCAGCTGGCGAGTCAGGAGAGGTCTGCCTTGCCATGTGGGTAGCTACCTGGCCAGCTAGGGATCGAATTCGTGCTGCCAAGTCTGCAGATTGCTTCATAGTGCGGTGCTTAAACCCTTGCACCACCAGGAAGGCCCTGAATTTATCTTATTTATCAATGAAAGTTATAAAAAAAAAATCTAAACTGCCACCTAAAATCTACAAGACTCCTTCACTCTCCAGCCTCACCCAGAACTCCTGTCTTCAGCTTTCCCTGCCCCGGCCCAGTGCCTTTTGTTAGCTTCTCACCAAGCTCATTGCCACGTCAGGACCCTTGCTTATTTTATTCCCTCCCTCTGAGTGCTCTCTTAGCACCAATTTCCCCTTTCCACCTAAGCTTAAACATCTCCTCGGTTGCCACATACAAAGTAGGCTCCACCCATTACTTTCTGCCTCAAGCCCTTGCCTCCCTCCTTCATAGCATTTATCATGATTCTCATGATTTCATTTGCTTGTGTCATTTTGGGGGGTTTTCTTTCTGGCTAGAATGTTAGCTTCGTGAGGCTGCAGACTGGGGTTGTTCACTACGTTGCTTCAGAAATAGGGCGCCTCTCCCAAGTCTTCCCAGGACTATCCACGTTTTAAAACGTAAAGACCCTTGTCCAGGGACATCCCCAGTCCTGGGGAAAATGATGTGGTTGGTCACATTAGTCAGAACGTAGTCTGCTGCCACCACATCGTAAACCCTTAATAAATGTTGATTAAACAAATGGATAAAAAATATGTAAACATTGTCCAGGAGAATGAAAATTAACACTTAATTTCTGAAGAAGAGAAGAGAGGTGGGGTATGAGGGCCTCTGCACCCAGCAGGACCTTTCTGCGTGTTTTCTGTATCTGATCACATGTTGGTACAATTTGGTAATGTGTCTTGGGGTTTTGAAGTTGCTCATATGGTTGGTTGCAACTCTTCCCCAAGGCTTCTTTTACTGCTTGAAAAGTAACCTGCTGAAAGACAAAGTAATAGGCACTGCCTGCAAACATGCTGGTCAAAACATTTCATTTAAATGATCATGCAATGTTGGCATCCTGAGGAAATGGAAGCCCTTCAGAAAAACTCACCATTAGTTTGTCAGTGAACAACTGCAGCCTCTTTGGACAATTTTCTTCTCCCTTGTGTGTGTCCTTTTTAGATGATCATTTCCTCAGCAGGTGAAAGCGACAGTTTCTGAAATTGAAATGATGACCTAAGTGTGTAACTCTTTCAGCTTTCACTCAACCCTTCCCTTGTAAAGCACCTAGACCTCTGCTTCATTAGCGGAACAGCTTTGTGACCTGTTTTTCTTTATTACTGTGCCTGTGGAAGGGGTTAGCAAGCCAAATTCAACTGAAATGAAAGAGCAGCAATTATCATGCCTGAGTTACAAGTTAGTAAGATGGGAGATCACAGAATACATGGACCGTTCGTTACTCCTCATTTTTCATGTCTTACACACACTCACACATTTTCTGTGGTCCAATATTTCAACCTGTGCTTATTGGGGAAAACATGTATAAATAAACACACTGTACCATTGTCACTTCTAATTCTCTACCACATACTTTTTCTGCCTTGTCATTTTGCAGCTCCTCCAATTAAAGTCCATCTCCCTGTGCACTGATGTTCAGCTCAGCCATATGGCTTGGGAGTGGTGGTATAGCAGTTCCAAGCACAGATCTTAAGATGCAGCACATATTTTCACACATGCTCTTAATATTCAGTTATTACAATGAGAAGGGTATGTGCCATGTGGCTCACCAGTGCAAAAAGGATATAGAGTATCCCTGCACCCAATCCACAAATTCAAGCCACATTCACATGAGCAAAGCCAAGATCTGTCAACCAGTATGTAGATACATGTGTGAAAATGGGAGAACAGGTAAATGTACTACTGTAGTTTTCAGCTACTGAATTGGGTGGACTTTTAGGCAGCACAGTTTCAGTAAAAGAAAACTGATATAATGAAAATGAGTCTACCTATGACTTGGTGCAGTCTTAAACCTTCTAATGAAATTCAACCTTGCCATGCTCCTTCACAAGGCCAGTACCAGCTCTCCGGTGAAGAAAACCATCTCAGGTAGTAAAACCTACTGAGCATCCACTGTAGATCAAGCACTGAGAGCACAGAGGTGAACAGTTTCTCTTCCTGAACAAGCTTGTGGTCTGGGTGCATGCAGACACCAAAAAAAAAAAAAAAATATTTTACCATAATTGGTTAGTGACAAAATTAGAAAATGCTCTCTACTGCATTCCAAGAGCAATGATAAGTGATAACCCCATTGTCTAAGAGATTCACTTTCCATGGTGGGAAGACCATGCATTGAGAAGGTGGTGATGCAGGCATGGGGTATTACCTAGGGCTGAGTGATCACACCTCTGACCAGCATGGTGACAAGATAGAGGGTGTCCAGTGCCTTCAGTCCAAAAGCAGTTGCTGATTGTCATTGTGGGTAGTGTCTGCATAGACCAATCAAAAGTGTCCCCTGGTTAGAATGAGTATTATCAATAAAAAAGAAAAACAAAAAAAACTAACAAGTACAATATAATTCTTTTTATATAGTTGCATGTTATTTCCATCAGTGAGACTGGATCCTCAAACTGACTCATAATTTATGTGGGGGGGGTTCTCCTTTCATAAAATCAACAACTTAAGCACTACATAAATAGCACTTGGAGTGTCTAGTCAAGACCATCCAACCTGCCTAGGAACTGTGAACACTCTCATGGGCCAGCTGTACCCCAAGGTAAGAGCCACATTCAACACTGCCACTGCTTTTTGTGCCCAGTGGAGGCACTTGGATTTGCTTGGCTCTTTCAGACTATAGGATATGGCACATGCATCTTGTGGTACATCCTGAGGCCCCCTGTGACAGCACTGTGGTCAGTTACAAGATGATCATGCAAAACACCCCCACACAAGGAGGCTGTGACTGTGCTAAGCCTGATTCTGTGAGCCATGCCAAAGGGAAGTGATCCGGGAGTGCTTTGGCAATGAGTCTGAATCCCAAACAATCTGGAGAAAGAGAAAGCAAGGTTTAAATTAAACAGGAGTGAATTAAACAGACAAAAGGAGAAGATCGAACCTTGTAGCAATAACACATCCTGCCAATTCAAAGCCAGGAAATAGTGGAGAAAATGGGAACACAACAAAACTCCAAGTCCACCTGCATCAGCCATGCTCATCTGACAGAAAACAGGGTGTGAGCAACACAAAGAGGGCGCTGCCTGGGAGCCCATGAGTCACCACTCCCATACTATCAGATTTTTAGGTAAAGCACGGGCCCCTAGACTTAGCCCTACATTGGAAAATGTGGATTTCTGCAGAAAGGATGGAGTTAACACGATCCACTGGTCTCTGAAACTTTGCCAGGATCTGTTTGTACAAGACCCTTCTCTGATTTCTTTACTTATTTATTCCCTTTCTGCCTCTTCTTCCCCTTCCCATCAGCTTCTATGTTCATGTTTTTAGAGTACATATTATAAACACATACTATTGGCTTTGAGAATATTTTCATTATATTTAGATAGATTGTTGTGCATCTCATTCTGACTCTTCCAAGTTCTACTGATTGGTAGTTTTTCCATGCCCAGCCTCACTGCCACGTGCACCCCAGTGCATTTCTTGTGGTTGTTGAGAACCACTCATGTCTGCAGTTCCCAGGTAGTGGAATTGCTTCCAATTGGAAGCAAAGGATGCTTTGCTCACCACCACAAAGAATTCTGGGATGATAAAGCCTCTACACACCATTGAAGACCAATGAGTGGGGGAAATGAGGGGGGGGAATACATTCAGGAGCAGCACAGAGTGCACAGATGTCATACGACCCACATGCCAGATTACACCCCAGAATGGCAGCACCCATCCACCCACCCACCAGCTCTCTCCGCATCCAAATGTTCTAGACTATGTCAGTCTAATAGGTGCCAAGTGATAGCACTATTATTTTTACTTTTACTTTCTTTGATTACCGAGTTTGAAACACGTTTCTTAAAGCCATCTGGGTTTTCCTCTTCTATAAATTGTCTGCTCTTATCTTTTACCTATTTTTCAGTTGGAAAATTGTTTTTTGTTGTTGTTGATTTTTTAATTTTCCTTATATATTCTAGAAATTGTTACTTGTCAGTATAGACCTTGAAAATACGTTCTCTTAATATGATAGGTGGCAATTAATGTGTAGGCAGTGTCCTTAATTGAAAAGAAATCTCTAAATTTAGAAATTTAATTTTTAAATTAGGGGCTAATGGGAAAAAAAGGATAATGGAAAAGTTGGGTGTTATCTGTTTAGATGGATTCAGTAATTAATAACAATGTCTCTCAAGATAGCAAAATAAAAGGAGGGAGTGATATTTGTTAGGACTCAAAAAACATCTAAGATCCCTGATGGAACCAAGAACTAGGACTGAGGCACTTTTCTCTCTCTCTTTTTCTCTCTCACCCTCCATCCGTCCCTCCCTCCCATTTTCTCTCATTTCTGTGCTTTCTACATCTGTCTCAGTGTTTCCAAATTTGCTTTCTTCACTATCCCATGAATAACTGTGCCAAGCACTTAAATTTCCAGGTCCTCAATTCAGCTCACCAATAACTACACATCCCCAATTCCAAATCCCAGCATAGGGACTGATATGTCCATCTGTCCAACCAGCAATGGCCAGAAGGTGGGATCAGGTCCACAGGGACAGTGTTTCAGGGGTGCACTTGGTGGCAGCTCTCAGAAAGAGAATCATGGCTGTGCCAGGCCACATAAAGATGCAGGGCAGGCTGAAGTTGGCACATGAGGAGATGTGTGATTTGTGGGGGGTTTGTCTGAACACAATGATACTTCCTGTCTGTTCTCTCTGCTGAGACCAGGGTGCACCTGGACTTCAGCTCTGATTCTTGGACTAGCTGTGATGTCACTCTTCTGAGAGTGACCCTCTGTCCTGTATGTACCCCAATAATTGGTGAGGCCTAATATGTCCCAATCTGACCAGTAAGATGTTTCTACATCCTGACCACATCCAGACACCATGTGTCAAAACCTGTGGCTCTTGGTCCCTGACTAAGATCCGAATGGATAGAAGATTCATTTCCCATGCCAATCATCCTCACTAAAGAGTTACCTGGTCTCTAGGGTGAAATATATATATATTTTTTCAGCATCCACACTGTGTATATATTAGACTGGTTCCACACCTTATGTATATTAGACAGCCTGTGTATATATTATGAATGTCTTACTTTCTTTTATATATACACTAATAAAAATAGTTAATATTATTAGGTTCTCATTATGAGTCAAGCTCTGGGCTAAGTGCTTAACATAATTTTTACTCAATACTTATGATCCTCCCACATAATAGCTATAATCCCACAGCAACATTGTGAGGAATTAGTATCATTCCCAATTTTTAGTTAAGAACCTGAGAGGCAGATGAGATGATTAAGTAACCCACCCAGAGTGATAAAATCATAGGGGTAGACTTCAGATCCAGATACAACTGGTGGCCAAGCTTAACTGGTCCTCACAACACAGTCTTCCATCCTTCTCTGTGTGGCTTGTATTCGCTGGTCCATTGCTCTGATTATCAACCTTAGGACACAAAGTCTTCAAAGCAATAACTACTTTCAAGTTGCTTTATATTTGTATGTACCCCATGTCTCAGTTTAGACCCATACCTCTAAAAAGAATGATAATCTAGTGGGTGAAAAAGAGCCAACAGCATATAAATATAAAAACCTAATTTGTACATTGATGGAAATCTTTGGATATAAACACAATGCAAAGACTTACATGTAACCTGGGAACCTGTGGAAGGATGAGAAATGGATGAACCCAGGAAAGGGAGGAAGTTCTTGGATCTAGTTGTCAGCAGCATTATCTGAAAAGCAGGGAACAGCACTAAAGAGGAGAATCCTAATCTTCAGGAAGACCAATGGGCCTTGGCTACAGCAAAAAATTCATTTCTTTTTTAAAAAATTAATTTCTTTATTTGTATATATATTACATCACATGTAGTACCCATAGAATTTCCACCACCAATTCACCCATGTACCATCACCTTAGTCCCTTATGTTCTACCCACCCTCATTTTGATCCCTCCACCTCCCCCTCCCTGCAGAATGTCTGATTTATAGTTGATTGTTTATTTTTGTTTGGTTTTGTTGTGTTTTTTTAAAATTGTTATTGTATTTTTCCCTGATTCCCTATTTGGTTCCCCTATATTCCTCCTATGAGTGAAACTATCCGATATTTTCTTTTTCCTTCTGACTTATTTCACTGAGCAAAATCCCTCTAGTTCCATCCACATTGCCGTGAATGGCATTAGATTGTCTTTTTTTTTTTTTTTTTTTTTGCTGAATAGTTTTACATTATGTATATGTACCACATCTTTTTTTTTATTTAAATTTTATTTTTATATTCCCCATACAATTGCAACCCCATTATTTTGACCCCAATCCCTCCTTTCCCTGCCCCCCACCCCCCATAGAGTGTCTCTGGTTCATAGTTGTTTGTTGATTTTGGTTTTTACTTTCTTATAGTTATTCTTTTTCCTGGTCCCTTATTTAAGTTTTCTAGATGTCTGCTATGAGTGAGACCATCTGGTATTTTTCTTTTTCTTTTTGGCTTATTTCGCTGAGCATGATCCCTTCCAGCGCCATCCATGAGGCTACAAACTGCATGTGTTTATCTTTTTTGAATGCTAAGTAATATTCCATGGTGTATATGTACCACATCTTCTTGATCCAGTCATCTATTTTTGGGCACTTGGGTTGTTTCCATACCTTAGCTATTGTAAACAGTGCTGCTATAAACATAGGGGTGCAGGTGCTCTTTGGAATTGATGTTTTGTGTCCTTTGGGTAAATACCTAGTAGTGGAATTGCTGGATCATATGGAAGCTATATGTTTAGTAGTGTACCACATCTTTTTGATCCAGTCATCTATTTTTGGGCATTTGGCTTGTTTCCAAGTCTTACCTATTATAAATAGTGCTGCAATAAACATAGGGGTGCAGGGAGGGAGGAAGAAGAAAACCTATAGCAACAGCTTTACATATTCTGCTTTTAGCAACACCATGGAAATATTCCCTTTTGGTCACTACTAGGAAAGGCAGGGCTTCACACTGTTTGGAGCAACTTGGCTCCCAAGACCCTGGAAAATTCTATTAGTGAGTTTATGCCTAGGTCTCACACCCATCCCCAGGGTTAGAAGCAAATGTGGACAGAGAAAAACAGAAGTGTTATTTGCAGAACAAGAACATGGACCTGGCAGGCAAAAGCGACAGATACATAGCACAAGCCCTACTTAAGATCCGTGAAAATGACAATAACCAACATTTATTGAATGTTCACTGTGGTCTGGAATAAGTGCTTTTCACTACCTCATTTAATCCTTATAATAATGATGCAAAGTACATTATTATTATTCCTAATTTAACGGATGATGAAATTGAAACACAGAGAAGCTAAGTAATGTGTCTGATTTCATGGAGCTAGTAAATAGCAGGGTTGAGATTTGAACTTAAGCAATTCGACTAAAGAGTCCATGCCTATGGAACAATGCTCCCCCAAAGATAGCCAGATTCTAAATCCCTGGAAAATGTGGATATGTTACCTTATACGGCAAAAGGGACTTTGCAGATGTGATTAAGTTGGTGTCTTGAGATGGGCAGACTATCCTGAATCACCCCAAAGGGCTCTCTCTAAATGGAGTCACAAGTGTCCTTATAAGAAGGAAGCAGGAGGAGATTTGACTACAGAGAGGAGAAGGTGATAAGATAATGGAAGCAAAGAGGAAATGCTATGTTTGGAAAATGAAGTAAGAGGCCACAAGTCAAGGATTGCAGGTGTCCCCTAGAAGTTAGAAAACATAGGGAAACATTCACCTTGGGAGTCATCAGAATGAACCAGTCTCACTCTATCTAGCTTGTAAAACTGACTTTGGACTTCTGACCTCCAGAAGTGTAAGAGAAAATGTTTCGTGTTAAGTCATTTTATTGGGTGGTGATAATAAATTAGAGCAGCTATGAGAAACTAATATTCTTGCCAAGACAGCATGTGTGTGTGGGTGTGCGCGCATGCGCACGCGCGTGCGTACACACACACACACACTCTCTCTCTCTCACACACACACACACACCCCAGATCTGAGTGCACATGAATGAGATTTGTGTTCTTGCCCATCTCCTAGAGAGAGCCCTTGTGCAACAGTGTGCTTCCAGAGAAAAATGGTGGTATGCCGTGCACCTTCCCCTTGTCCCCCAGATTCCAGGTCTGCTCTGTGCTCTCTACCTCCTCTCTCCCCAGAAGGCTGATGTATGTCGGTGATGCCAGCTGGCTGCCATGACTTCTGGCTTTCAGCCAGTTCCCCTAGTGGGCTACGCTGGCAGCAGTACACAGAAGCCCGCCTCACCTGACCACTGACAGTCCAGTCTGCACTCCTATAGGGGAGCCCTCTTCATACCATTGGTCTTTTCAGATGCCTACAAGCACTCCTTCCTTGCCCTTTCAGGCCTCCAGTGACAATGATCCCCTAATGCCCCCAACGCAAAATGTCCTATCCCCTGTGCTATCTCTGGTAGCTTCCTGCACCCTGCTCACACTTTTGTAAACTCCACTCAAAATGTTCGCTTTGAGTGTATATTTGTACATCCTGAGGGCTCCCACTGATCCACCAGTGCAAAGTAGTCATGAAGAGAGACTTGGGCAGCCAGAAGTAGCAAGGAGAAGGTGAGGATGGCAGGAGATTCTCTGAAGACGATCTATCGCATGATTCATGAGAAATGACAGGGAGATGGACACACAAGCATACTTCTGTGGCCGGTTGACATCAAGGACTAGTCTAGTTCCTGCAAAGACCCAGCTCTGTGTAACAGTCTTAGGCTGCATTGCCCCAGAAGTAAGGAGTTCACTCCAGAGCTGATCCCTGGACATGCTAGCAGGGAAGTGGCAAGCGAGACAGGGATGGAAAGGTGGCCAAGAAAGGTTGCCACCATTCTGGGTGTCTGTTCTCACTCTGCAAACCCATGGAGAACACAGTCTTCAGAATTTTCCCTCTGGTGAGATGAAAGTGCAAGCAGAGTCACACGCCTGCTCCCATCACTGAGGGCTCCACTGAGGGATATTGATTGAGGGATAATCCAGGGAAGATGAATGAGAAGGCCAGGAAGGAGTGTGGAATGCAGGGAGAAGCCCCAGCCACCACAGCAAGAGCAGGATGAGAGGCATAGGTGCAGGCTGTGGAGGTCTGTGGCCTGTAAGACAGGAAAAGTCCAGGGGTTATGGGGGGCGGGCAGTGAGAGCTTCTGCAGGTGGGCGGTAGGTGCCTCTCCCCTAAACTCAGGCATCAGAGAAAGCTGAGCATTTCTGAATTGATTGAGATTGTTTCTAAGTGGAAGTGGCTCAAAAGAGAAATTAATTTGATTTACAGACAGAGGAAAATGAATTTCTTTTACATCTGAGTATATAGATGGAGATTCATAACCACTCAGTTAAAAAAAAAAAACCAACTCCAGCGAGCGAAAGCATAAAGGAGAATTAATTACAAGTACACCGGAGTCTTTCATGGAACCCAAGGGCTAGAGGATGAACTTTATGGGGGCTGGAAAATGAAATTGTATCAGGAGAAAGAGGGCGGCTAAGCCTGGGCCCCACTCTTGAGCTCGCCTGACTTTGGCCTGGCTGTTTCTCAGAGTCTGCTGCTGCTTTTCTCTTTGTCCTCTGTCTCTCTCTTTTTTGATTCCTTTCTGGTTTTCTTTACTCTGCTTGCATATGGCTCCCCAAATAACAACCTCATCTCTGTAAGGCAAAATTCTAGTATTTCCCACAAGTTTCCCCACACCCTGGTGTACATGCCTGCATGGGCTCCAGGGCTGTGAATGAGAAAGATTTCATTCCCATGGGCAGGTTATGTAAGGCACAGTTGACTTTTTTTTTAAGATTTATTTATTTATGCATACAAGAGCTGGGGTACAGGCCAGGGGAGTTGGGGGTGAAGGATTCACCAGAGACAGAGTGGGGAGCAGAACTGGCAGAGATACTGAAATACACACTGCTGAGGGGAGCAGCAGGCAAGTCAGGAGAGGTCTGCTGCACCATGTGGGTCACCTCCCTGGCCGGCAGGGGATCGAACTCAGGCTGCAGTGACTGTGGATAGCTTCACAGATTGTGTCTTAACCCCTTGCACCACCAGGGAGGCCCAGGCACAGTTGACTTTTAAACAAGGGGCAGTGCATGTGGGCCTGACCTAGTCAGGCAAACCTCAAAAGGGCCAGGGCTCTTCCTGAGAAAAAGATTAGACGTGTGAGAGGGATTAAATATGAGGGAGATTATCTATTGCTGACTTTGGAGATGAGGAATGCCACATGGCAAGAATTGTGGGCAGGCTCTGGGAACTAACCAGACCCCAGTCAACAGCCAGCAGGGAAGCAAGAACTTCAGTTCTGCAAACACACACACACGAAACTAAATTTGGCCAAGATTGAAAGAGCTTAGACATAGATTCTTACCCAGAGCCTGCATCGAGAAACACAGTTCAGCCGCAACAATTTTAAATATTTTAAATATTTTTTTAATAGAGGCATGTTTTTATTTATTTATTTGTTTGTTTGTTTATGCAAGCACTGGGTACAGTCAGAAGCGCAGGAGGGTGAGAGAATTCACCAGCGCCAGAGCTGGTCGCAGAGCAGGCAGAAGGACCGAAGTACACTGCTGAGGGGAGCAGCGGGTGGCAGGAGAGGTCTGCGCGCCATGTGGGACCCTCCTCCGGTGGCCGGGGAGCAGCCGGGGATCGAACCGGCACCGCAGAGGCCGCGGGCAGCTTCGCAACCCAGCGCTCAACCGCTGCGCCACCGGGGAGGCCCCAGCCGCAACAATTTTAG